CAGGCCTACACGAGATGAGGCAGGATAAAGAGGGATAATCCCCCTCGATCCCAAATCATTGAGGTCAATTTCTAGCCATAGAATAATGGCGCGAGCCAAGTGAACCGGTTCCTTCTCAGATCCGTCCGGCTCTCGTAACCGATATCAAGAGTAGTGCACAATTCACACACTGCAAGTATCGGGTGTATTATTTGTATTATTTCCTACTTTTTCAAATGATAAATAAGCAGTGAAAACAAATTTTTCATTCAAATAAATACAAAAAAAAAATGAATTCACCAAAAAATAATTATTTAATAAAAATTAATTCCAAACTTTTCTTTTTTTTCCTTACGTGATTTCTAAATTGCTAGTTATTAATCAACAGAATATTGATTCTAATATATTCGTATAAAAATAATACATAATTCTATTAAACAATCTATTTTATGTATCTGTTTAATAATTTCATTAAGTGAGCTACGCAATACATTCACTCGATTACACGGGTCGCAGTGTACTAGAAAGAAAAGAAGGGAAGGGTAGTCGTGACAAATTCGGCTCAATTGAGCCGGCTCTGTATGAGAAACCGGAACCGGTGAACCGGGTCAACAAAATGAACCGGATTTCACATCTCTACCTCAGACTAATAAATAAAGGGGACGCCGTTATTTACATTCGACAGTGAAGTGTTGATATATGTGTATTTACAAAAATTGGTACTTGTGACGTCCTTGACGTTGATGTAAATGTTGCATTTTTATCTTTATAGCTAGGTACAGGTCATCAGAGACAATAGATAACTATAGATAGCTAACTCGAGTGGAGGGGGAAGGACTGTAATAAGCATCAGCGCCAATGTGCCAAGTGTATCAAATAGAAGTCATTTAGCGGGACTTTTAAAATATATTGATAATATTAAATAATAAACTTAATTTTGCCTAAAATGATTATATCTCATACTGAGACTGTAAATAATATACCATAAAGAGACAGTATGTCACATTACTTTAAATTTTGAAACGTCATCAAAGTAATGTACAATAGTGTTTTTTTTAAGTATATTATCTACAATCTTAGTATAAAATATAATCATTTTAAGCAAAAGTAAGTTTATTAAAACAACCCCTTCATCAATAATCCTTCTACTTCATGGGATTATTTCTTAATTGTTAATGGCAAAAAATACTCAAACTCTAAAATACTAAATACTGCCACAGAAAAGTAATTTCAGACAATATATAAGTGATATAGATATTATTTAAAGTATCGTTTCTTTCTAAAGGATACAATTGCTTATTTTGTTTTTAATTTTACTTACCTAATATGTACTTCAAATGATTTCTTTGCACTGTTGTAAACAGTTTTGTTTATTTTATTAAATAAAATGCATTTGTTTTTTTAATTATTTATAGTAAATTACAATACGCTGACATATTGCAAGTTATATTATACTATAAAATATATAAATTAAAATACTTTACAAGCTAGACCACACAAACACACAAGGTTATAGGCCGTGTTCTTTTATTGAAAATAAACTTAATATTCAAATTGAAATTCAAGAAATGTTAAATTTGTTTAAACTACACTTTTACTAATAGAAACATGTCTAATACAAATATTTACACATACTATTTAAAATAAAGTAAGCACCTTTATATCTTAATGAAGTTTCAGTAATTGAGTCTACCGCACTAACTATACCTGTTCGGTTGGGGTTATACAATCCCTTGAAGTACCTGGTATTGAAATAAATGGATTATCCTCTTCTTCACCTTTAAAGAGAATTGAATTTATTACAATTTATACAGTTCTATAAAAGTATTACTAAATAATCAAATAAAATTCTGTAAAGGACACTGCAAATAAATTCATGCGTTGATTAAAAATAGTACATACTTCAGTCAACGATTTATATTTATTTTACAGTAGTCACTAATTTATATTGCAAATAACCTCCAATAAAAGAATATACTAATCTATAAATGTAAATTGGAAACATTTTAAAAATTTTAATTCTGGTTAAGTAAATGCGAAATTACCTGGCTGCCTTAATGTGATTTGAACTTCAGAATATATATTGGGTGTATTGCATTCAGTAGAAGTGCTTGGAATAGGATCTGGTACTTCCAAATGAGTTTCTGTTTCACAACTTCCATATTTATAAAGCGAATTTTCCTGTGTCGGACTTTCATGAAAATCTAAAGTACACATACAAAAATATTGACACAATATTTTATTTAGTTTTTATATATTTACCTGGCAAAAATAATATGGACAAACTTCCATATTTTAACTTTTTCTCCCCAGGAGTTCGACAAAATTCACTGCTTATCGCATACTCTGTATCTCCTATAAGCAATTTGAGGATCAAGACTTCAGTGTATGATTACCAATCCTCTTTACCCAAATATCGTATACCTGAAAGAAAGTGTAATAAAAATATTGTATATAGGTTACAAATTTACGGTACAATTGTTTCCTTTATTATAAGCGTTTTAATTCTTAGTTACATTTTATCACAATTCGGTCCACAACACACAAAAACCATTGTCCTATTATAGTTTATAATCAATTAACAATAAATAAAATACAACAATACCACAAAACCATCCACAAAACAAAATAAATTCAAATAGTAAATGATAAACTTGATTCCTGTTTTATCAACAACACCCAAGATTCCTAGATGCCAGCGCCAAAATGGCAAGTGTATGAACTATTGCGTAATCCTCCCCCACCACAGAGAGTGCACAGCCCCTGCAGGTCATTTTAATTGATTAACGTACAAGGATATACCTCATTCTTGACCTCGACTTACAAATTTGTTATTTTGTGATATGCATAAGATTACGACACTATTTTCTTGTAACTTGTTTTATAATTACAAATTCTGGATACTGGATATCCGAAAAAAATACATTATTGAAATTCCTAACAATACAAACGCCGTAAGTGGCATCATTGCCTGGTATTAAACGGTACTATAAGGGACGCCATTATTACTAATAATTTATTAGTCTATTATTGTGAAATCGATATTAGCCGAGTTCAGTGTTTTGTACCTTTTTAATGTTTTTTTTAATTTCAATAAAAATGCCAAAGCGGCGTATAATATGCCGACAATTACAGGAAAAGAGCCAAATATGTGCTACTTCTTTTCACAAGTAAGTTTGACATAGTTTCCATGGGCGTTCTTACAAGGGTGTAAGGTGTCCTAAGTATTTTATTTGTTAATTTATTATGTTTGTATTTTGACACTAACTCTAGCTCTGTGTTTATTTGTAGAATACCATAAAATCCTGCGATACGAACGGTGTGGCTAAAAATTTAGCCATATCTGAATATGATTTATCAAAGGTTAATTACGTCTGTTCGAAGCATTTCCGTGCTACAGATATTAAGGTAACAGTGACTGGAAAACGATGTCTTCTCACACATGGAGCTGTCCCTATCAATACAACATTTGGAAGGTAATATGTTTTAAAAAGGTAATAAGAATAATATAACAAACATTTTTAGCAGTGTTGATGAAAAGGTTGTGCCGTCTCAAAGGTTTCCCCTTCGAGAAATTGCCAGTGAAGGAAATTTTATAGATGTTGCTATAAAATATCTTCGATCACATGTTGTCCCTGTTCCGTAAGAGAAGAGCTGTCAATGCTATGAGCTCAAAATTCATCAGTTTATTTTTGTTGCGTGCATTTAAAACGTGCTTGGAATGTTTATTTTCCCATACGATTAAATGTTGTTCAATGTAATTTCATTTTTCCGTTACTTTTAGTACAAGTATGTTTTGTTTTCTTTGCATTGTTTATATTCCAGCAGATTTTAATGAAATATATTTTTGCTCCTTTTCTTGTAGTTTTATTTAAATTATTTATTTTAATAAATGTTCTTCCAGTAATCGAGAACTACTATGAAATAATAGAATTAATAGTAGGCAATGACATTGCTATAGCTATAGTATAATGATAGTTTCAATCGAGGAGTTTTCTTTAGTCACTCTTTTGTTCTGGAAATGTTTTTAAAATATTAATTATAGATTTTGAAGAANATCTTGAAACTGTTTTCTTATATTCTTTCTTATAAATGGTTTTTCCTTTACTGAATACTTTTGTTTCTTGTTGGCAATAAAATTATCTTCCTTTTTTTATTAAATATTTTATTTTTCAGAACTCTAGCTGTAATCCACCAATTTTTATTATTATTTTTTCTAGTTACCCAACACTTTATCTTTTCATGTTCCACTAATTTTATTTTAAATCAACTTTTTAATTTTAGTAATCTGACTTCTTATTACCAATCACATTTTTTTAATTTTGAATATACTTTATTACATTATATTTATTTTTGTTTGAAATTCACTTTTATGAAAATTTTAATTGGTCATGTGCTAACTTCCTTTTATTTTGTTTTTTCTTTCTTAATTTTAAATATCTCCTGTATTTATTGGTTAACAATTTATTCACACATATAATTTATTTTAAAATCAATTTTAACAATTTTCTTTTAATTTGCCTTTCTCTTCAATATTTTAAAATCCTTACCGCAACTCATTCAATTACAATACTTTTAGATATAGAAAAGTCAGCATATTTGAAAGGACAAAAGACACAACAGAATTAGAATTTTTGTGTCTGGTTACATTAAAACTTAATATACTGAATTTTTTAGTCGAAACTAAACAACAAAAAAAAGTGATATTCATTCGAAGAAATACTACGGCTCTAGTAAAAATTATCCATTATGATGCAGATGCAATCACGGAAAAACAAATTATAACAGTCAAGCGAAGTAAATCCTCCCCCGTAACGCTGACTGATGTGTTAGGAATTTCGCCTTCTCCCTGAATTATTCGGAATATGCAAGCCTGTCTGGGGATGAAAGGAAAATCGATGTACCTAAGGCGGTATAAAAGAAAGTCATAGATCTTTTCCTTACGTTTATGGACCATTTTTCATGACAATAGAACTGCGGATCCTGTTTCGCACCACGTATAAAAGAACTGTTTGGCTCTGCATTATAACGAAGCAACTACGTTTGAACTTTTATTTACCTACGTGTACAAAGAAGCGTAAAAATGTTGGTACGATGTAGGGCAGTGTATAACAACATAGAAAAAACTTAAATGTATACAGGGTATCGCTAAAGAATGGGCCAGGTTCTAGATTCTATGAGGAGAATTAGTGGGATAGATTGTATACAAATTTATAATAAATTTTTAATAAAAAAATATATCGTGAGAGTTTGAGCCCTTAATATTATGTAGTTTTAAGAGGTCTATCAACGCTAGTTTCGATTTTTTATTCCTGATCCCATTTTTGCGTCAAAACTGTCAAACCGTCGAGGTAAAAAATTGATCTACTTATATTTTTGAAGGAAATTGAATGCCCTATAAAAAAGGTCTGATTGAAAATTTTCGGCAGACGAGCCGTTTCTATGCAATCAAGCCTTGAAAGTTGATATGTTTTTCGATTTGACTTTTTTACTTTGGAATTTTGTAAATGACGAACAAATTAATATCTGAAAAAGAACAATACATATTTTCAAAGGGAATTTAATGCTCTACAAAAAAGGTCTGTTAACATTTTTGCATAAATTTACTCCTTTAAAAGTTATTCACGATTGTAGTTGAAGTAGATTTTTGTTTTTTTCGTTTTGGACCCAATTTTTTTCACTCAATGGAACCAATTGATATTATACATCATCGACAATTATTATTCTATCAATATAATCACCAACAATATCCAAAATTCATAATATATTCAAATTCATTCATTTTCTACAAGAAAGTAGTTTTTCTGTTTCAAAATAATTTTAAAAATAACAATCATGTAGTTTTACTACCAAAGATTATTTATGAATTTTTGGTAGAGCATTAAATTTCCTTTGAAAATCTGTATTGTTCTTTTTCTGATATTAATTTGTTCGTTATTTACAAAATTCTAAAGCTATAAAGTCAAATCGAAAAAACATATCAATTTTCAAGGCTTGATTACATGGAAACGGCTTGTCTGCCGAAAATTTTCAATCAGACCTTTTTTGTAGGGAATTCAATTTCCTTAAAAAATATATGTAGATAATTTTATTTACCTCGATGGTTTTGACGCAAAAATGGGATCAAGAATAAAAAATTGAATTTAGCGATGATAGACCTCTTAAAACTAATATTAAGGTCTCAAACTCTCACGATATTTTTTTCGTCATTCAGAATGATATTTTCGATAAATCTTTTAAAAAAAAGTAGTCGATTAAAATTAATTTCAAAATTGACGTATTTCCTGGCCAAAGTATCTGGAACAACAAAATGTTACATAAATAAACAGTAACATGTACTGAATTTATTGAAATAACCTACACTATATTTTTTCGGCTTATCTTTAAAAACAAGCAACTCAGTGACAAGGAGGACTTCAATGAGATGGAATAAAAACTACCACTCATAAATCTTGTAAAGAAACCAAGTGGAAAGTGAAGGGAAGGAAAAGGTGGAAGAGCAAACATGGACATAGATTCAAGATAGGTATCACAAAAGTTACCTGCTTAAAACGTGTCAGTAGTTAAAGCCTCGTATGTTTCTTGAAGCAGTTCAGAGTTCAACAAATCGTTTTATGAGTTATGAATGAATGACGAAAGTATTTCATGTACTCCACAAAAAACACAGTATTCCTAGTTTCCTTAAAAAATCAATTACAGATTATTAATATTATTCATCAAAATGACTATTATACAGAGTGTCTCACGGTGACGTCCCATTAGAATTATTTCAGAGACGACTTCGATTTGAATTTTGAAAATTTGGGGTACCGGGTTTTCGGGCATGCCCTTCTCAACTAAAATAATGGCGTCCACGTACCACTTCCGGTTATACCGGAAGTCGCCATCAACCTGCTTATTTTAAATGGAACACCCTATATATTATTGCAATTTTGGATTCTACGTGTTATTTTAGGTGGACTTTTATGAAGTTTCCCTATTCCTAAAATTAACCGTTTTCGAGATATTTAATTATTTTCAAAAAAATGGAGAGGAACTGTGACTAGCTTCAGACCATGTGTATTTTATAGTAAGAAAGATAAAGCAACAATATTTATAGGGGGGATAGCTGGACCCCTAAGCTCTTCATCCATACTTTCAAAGTGTAATACTCGTGTAAATATAGTCACACCCAGCAGAATGCTTTTAGGATACTATTTACACATGAATTAGTCACAATTATTGAGTGGTTTTATAAATGAACTGGACAAAACAGGAAAGGTACAAATTTTTAACGTTTTCATGTGGGAAATTATACGAATCGTTTGTATCTGAACATTCCCATAGTTTGGATACTGTCGAAAAGATGGCGATAGCCACACTCTTAAGATTTTTTCCGTCTAGATTCAGACTAACTTCTTCAATCATTACCGTTAAGGGTTATGCACGAGGTGTGTGTGTTGAAAAAATATCTCATATTTATCTTTTGGCTACTTTGCGACCTTTGAACACATTTTAATATAAAAAAATTATTCAGAAGCGATTTTGATCTTGTACGCCATTTTGAATTTGATTTTGGAATCTGAATATATTTAGACATCTCTTAGCAGAAGATCACAGATAAATCAAGTTATTATAAAATAGTATTAGGAGTGTAAAATAAACAGAAGAAACTGTTACAAGAGCGTCAACAATTCTATATAATTTTTTAATTGTATTTTTTTTACTTTTAGCTTTTCAGAACAAGAACAACAGATAAAAAGATTCCAATAAAGTGATGAATTTCAGTGGCAAAACAGATAATATCCTAGGATATAAATAGGACTTAAAAATCCTATCGAGCGGCTTCCAAGTTGTCCAGATTTGAACCCATCGTATTTTTGTATTTTATCTCCTATTTTTTATTATTTTAGGTACGTACGTAACAAACAGAAATTCAGTATTAACAATTAATACAATTACTAATCTTTACGAAAAGGCACCCATTAGAAAAATTTTTATACAGGGTGTTCCACCTGAGAGGGATTCTTCTGTAACTGTGCAAGTGTAAAATTTATATAAAAAAAATAATTTTAATCAAGGTTGTCTGGAATCATGTGTAGAGTTTATTTAATGTACATGCCGTTTAAAACTTACCGTTTTCGAGATAATCAGTTATTTTTGAAAAAAAATCACAATTTCACGTCTCTAAATGAGGCTAGATAGCGTTTAAACCGTAAGAGTTAGAAACGTGCACTTTTCACAGTTCGTTTTGCCATAAATTACTCTATCTTGTCATCTGTGAGCAAAACGTGTACGTTATTCAGACTCGGAAATACCGAGACCTACAATTAATAATCTTACGAGTTGAAAAACTTTTTTTTTCCAAATGGAGTGGCCCATATTAATTGTCATGGGTGAATGCAAAATTGAATGCCCTTTCGACTGATAAGTAATTATACTTTATATGTACACGCACACTGTGTTCTAGTTTGATCTAGAACACTCCTGTAACATTTGCCTGGACTGTGCATTTGAATGATTTTTTTTTTGCACGTAGGACTCTCCCAATACTTAGTGAATATTCTAATGCTCACCACATAATTTTATAAAAATTATCTTCACCAATACTTTTTTAGGAACATGAACAGTCCCAATCTTCAGATTCTTTTACGTCTCCTATCAGCCAACATTCCACGTCACAGTCATCATATTCTTACGTAAGTAAAACATCTTCGATGTCAACTTTGAATATCACGGATAATGAAGAGATTATATAAACATTTAAGTGATGATACCCCTAGAAAGAAGAAACTAAAATATTAGGCGACTTTCCTCCGTTTGTATATGTATTTATTTTCGTAATCGCAGTTGTTTCACTTGTATGTTTGGACTAATAAAGGATTTTTATGTTTCAGTTGGTGCTGTTTGATACTTCTGTATTTAGTTTCGAAATTGCAGTCCTTACATCTGTACATTTGGACGTAGAAGGATCTTTATGTTTCACTTGGTGTCGTTTGATAACACTCTTGTATTTAGTTTCGTAATCACAATTGTTACACCTGTACATTTGAACTTGTGAGGAATCTTTATGTTTCAGTTGATGCTGTTTTAAAAGACTATTGTATTTAGTTTTGTAATCGCACTTGTTACACCCGTACACTTCAACCTGCGAAGGATCTTTGTGTTTCAGTTGATGCTTTTTAATATTATTCGTGTATTTACTTTCATAATCACAGTCGTTACACCTGTACATTTGAACCTGTGAGGGATCTTTATGTTTCAGTTGATGCTTTTTGAAATAACTCTTGAATGGAGTTTCATAATTGCAATCGTGGCACCTGTACATTTCAACTTGCGAAGGATCTTTATGTTTCAGTTGATGCTGTTTGATATTACCGTTGTATTTAGTTTCGAAACTGCAGTCGTTACACTTGTACGTTTGAACCTGTGAAGGATCTTTATGTTTCAGTTGATGCTTTTTGAGAAATGTCCTATATTTAGTTTCGAAATCGCAGTCGTCGCACCTGTACATTTGAACCTGTGAAGGATCTTTATGTTTCAGTTGATGCTGTTTGAAATTACTGTTGTGTCTAGTTTTGTAATCGCAGTCGTTACACTTGTACATTTGAACCTGAGAAGGATCTTTGTGTTTCAGTTGATGCTGTTTGAAATTAGCATTGTATTTAGTTTCGAAATCGCAATCGTGGCACCTGTACATTTGAACCTGTGAAGGATCTTTATGTGTCAGTTGATGCCGTTTGAAATTACTGTTCTGTCTAGTTTTGTAATCGCAGTCATTACATTTGTATATTTGAACCTGTGAAGGGTCCTTATGTTTCAGTCGGTGCAGTTTGAAAGCATTCTTATGCTTAGTTTTGTATTCGCAGCCATTACAACTGTACATTTGAACCTGAGAAGGATCTTCATGTTTCAGTCGGTGCACTTTGAAAGCATTCTTGTACTTAGTTTTGTATTCGCAGTCATTACAACTGTACATTTGAATCTGCGAAGGATCTTTATGTTTCAGTTGATGCTGTTTGAAATAACTCTTGTATTTAGTTTCATAATCGCAATCGTGGCACCTGTACATTTGAACCTGTGAAGGATCTTTATGTTTCAGTTGATGCTGTTTGAAATAACTCTTGTATTTAGTTTCGAAATCGCAATCGTGACACCTGTATATTTGAACGTACGAAGGAACTTTATGTTTCAGTTGATGCTTTTTGAAATAACTCTTGTATCTAGTTTCATAATCGCAATCCTGACACCTGTACATTTGAATCTGCGAAGGATCTTTATGATTCAGCTGATGCTTTTCGAGATTTCTCCTGTATTTAGTTTCGAAATCGCAGTCCTTACATCTGTACATTTGAACCTGCGAAGGATCTTTATGTTTCAGTTGATGCCCTTTGAAATAACTCTTGTCTCTAGTTTCATAATCACAATCGTTACACCTGTACATCTGAACCTCTGAAGGATATTTTTGCTTCAACAGGCGCATCTGAAGTAATTTCTTACTTTTAGGTTTATACTCACACGATTCACACTTATATGTTTCCAAATCCTTCTCATGCCTCGCACAGTGTGCCGTAAAACGGATTTCACTTTCAGTTTCGTAGATACATTTATCACATTTGTACAATACTTTGCTTTCTTGTCTGTTTTTCACTTCTGATCCATTCTCATGTTTACATCCATCCTCTTCTTCATTTTTACAGTCACTCTCCTCAAATGGTACAATATTGGAGATCTGAAGTGGTGTGTCGCTGAAAAAATTGCATATACAGAGTACTTTTCATAATCAGGTATTAATTTTAAGGGGTTATGACAATAATTGAATCAACCATAGTACTGATAGCACAATTTCAACTTTAATGATGAATCGATTCAATCTTTGATAATGTATTTAATTATCAGAAAAGGCATTTGCGAGATGCTACGTATACAGTCACACAATAAATCCTTAAACAAAGTTAGCTACAGATAATTTAAATACAATCTACAATAGCATTATTTATAAATTTATTAATTTTAATCATATAACTAGAAAGGTAGGCAAACTTCGCTGACGCGAAGTTTGACCTTTCTCTCGGGCCTTCGGCCCTCGAGCTGTTTTGGCTTTGATACAGAAAATCTAAGCAGAGTTTTGAAAATTTCACACTGTCCTCCACAAGACATTCTTATCGTTTTTTGATAAATTTATTTTTTTTGATGCAAGGAACTTGATTCCAAAATTGCGTATTTGAAGAATTTTGTTAAACCCGAGATTGATATTTAAGATACTTTCGTTTTTTTACTTTCTGTAAAGAGTTCAAACGTCTGCGATTGGCTTTCACTATGAATTGCCAATTAAGGAATAAATTTAGCATCTTTAAATCATTTTTTTTAAATTGAAAATTTTTTTTGCACAAATCTATACAGGGTGGGCCACCTGTAACGCCTCGGTCGCTAGTGACCAAACGGCAAATGTTACAGAAACCTGTTTAGGTGGGTATGTGTAGGTTGATTACGGCTACATTTTAAAAATATTTTGAAATATACAGGGTGTCCAGGAAAAGCGTACCATATCAAAGTTATGTTTTTTTAAATGGAACACCCTGTATTTTACTGCATTTTTGAAAGCACCGTAAAAAAATAGGTGAACTTTATTAAAGGTTCTGCATACCTAGGACTTACAGTTTGTGAGATATTTCAATTTTAGTGAAAATGCAGGCATAGCGTAGAAATTTAATATTAGCAATAAAAAAATAATTTTAAGGAAGCAGCTTTGGAGGGTCTATTTTAGATCCTTGAAGTTATAAATTGTTATATTTGTCGTCACTTAGTATTATACAGGGTGTTCAAAAAACTGCTGAATACTTCTCTCAACTTTAAACAGCAATAACTTGGTTATTTTAAATGGAACACCCAGTATATTTTTACTTTGAGAGTTAGGAAATTTAAAACTCTTTCAAACTGTATATAGGTTTCCTATACCTATCTCCAACGGTATTGGAGATATTTGTGCCGTTTCGTTTTTTATCGATTTTTTTTGTAAGATGTATCCACGTGTCTCTATCGAGGTCTTTACTGAATTGGTTTGGGTTCTTCTTGATGACGTCTCTGTAAATATAAGGAGAAAAATGTGAATGCAAATACATGGCACACCTGCACATTTTTCATATTCAGTGAGAAATTATATAAATCGATAATTAAGTAATAAATGAGTAGGTAAGAATGGTTCATGTCAGTGGCTACCACAGGTGTCCAAACCTCTCGTAATGGACTTCTTTGTTTCGGGCTGTATAAAAATATATCTTGTACACAGTGTTCCACCTACTACTTGCGATGATATGAAGGAAAGGATTAGATATGCATTTGCCACAATCACCCCAAATATTCTAAGGAATGTGAGAATATCATTTGAAGATAGAATAAGATGCTGTATTCAAGAGAATGGTTATCAATTCGAACATCTATTAAAATTTTTCTTTGTTTCTTCTAAAAGTAAAATTTTCTTTAATAAATATTTTTCATGTTCATAAATAATTCAGTTACTTACTACAAACATATTTATACAAAATTAATAACTTTTTATAATTATTCGGCTTATAAAATAATATTTTTTATTAGAAAACTTTTTTGAATATTTTCATGATAATGATAAAAGGAACTTTTACTTTTAGAAAAAACAAAGAAAAATTTTAATTGATGTTCGAATTGATAACCATTCTCCTGAATACAGCATCTTATTCTATCTTCAAATGATATTCTCACGCAAATGCATCTCTAATCCTTCCCTCCAATATCATCGCAAGTAATAGGTGGAACATTGTATACAAGATTTTTTATATAGCTCGCAACAAAGAAGTCCATTACGGTGAGGTCTGGACACCTACGTGGCCACTGACATGCACCATTCCTACTTATCCATTTATTACTAAATTTTCGATTTAAATAATTTCTCACTGAATATGAAAAATTTGCAGGTGCGCCATCTAATTGCATCCTCATTTTTCTCAATATATTTAAAGAGACGTCATCAAGAAGAACCCAAACCAATTCAGTAAAGACCTCGATAAAGACACGTGGATACATCTTAAAAAAAAAATCGATAAAAAACGAAACGGCACAAATATCTCCAATACCGTTAGAGATAGGTATAGGGAACCTATACACAGTTTGAAAGAGTTTTAAATTTCCCAACTCCCAAAGTAAAAATATACTGGGTGTTCCATTTAAAATAACCAAGTTATTGCTGTTTAAAGTTGAGAGAAGTATTCAGCAGTTTTTTGAACACCCTGTATAATACTAAGTGACGACAAATATAACAATTTATAACTTCAAGGATCTAAAATAGACCCTCCAAAGCTGCTTCCTTAAAATTATTTTTTTATTGCTAATATTAAATTTCTACGCTATGCCTGCATTTTCACTAAAATTGAAATATCTCACAAACTGTAAGTCCTAGGTATGCAGAACCTTTAATAAAGTTCACCTATTTTTTTACGGTGCTTTCAAAAATGCAGTAAAATACAGGGTGTTCCATTTAAAAAAACATAACTTTGATATGGTACGCTTTTCCTGGACACCCTGTATATCTCAAAATATTTTTAAAATGTAGCCATAATCAACCTACACATACCCACCTAAACAGGTTTTGTGTAACATTTGCCGTTTGGTCTCTAGCGACCGAGGCGTTACTGGTGGCCCACCCTGTATATTTTCATCAAAAATTGTCATGAAAAAAAAATATTTTCAGAAATATATTATTTACAATTTTCACAATGCTACACAGTTGTCAGTTGTCCTTTTTTTTTGAGTGCAAATGTCAATTTAAAAGTCCTTCCTCAAATCTCTGATACTTATCGAGTTCTATGGCTCACAAATTGTTTTCATGAGCTTTAATACTGAGAAAAACAGTATTTTTAAACTAACCCAAAGATATTTTCTGTATATTACAAAAAAAATAAATAAATATTTTTTGACGATCTGAAGAGCATTTTTTCAAGGTATTTTTATAATTTGAATTAGCTCAATACCTCATTCCAAAATTCTTTCAAAATTAATTTTGGGTAAGAATGACTGAAGGTCAAACTGATTTTCTTGCAATCTGCTTACATAACCCCCAATTATTTCTGTCCAGTTAAAAAATTGATTGAATAAATGGAATTTAGTGTAGCATTCTTTGTACCCATATCTGATTCGAAGTCATACTGATTGTTTTATAAGGATCTTACGTATTTTTCCAATTTGTTAACATAAAGCTTAATGATTATATAAAAATTTGTATGATATCGTATATAACCGACAATCTCATAATTTGTTACAATTACTGCATCACCAGATTGTGACAAAATGTCAGAACCACGGGCTGCCATTTCTTTAAATTAATGTTAAGATAGTCTCCTCTTACCTTCTTTCCTCATCTTCCGATTTTATGTCAACACATTCAGCTTTAATCGACATTTCCATCTCGTTAATATCGAATTCCTTGTCCAGGTTTTCAGTCTTAACATATAAATCAAGTGGACACGTATTTATTTGACTTCCTGTGGCTGAACTATCAAAAATACTTTTAATTTTTTCCTCTACCTCTGAGCAATCTTTCAGGAAACTGTTGTGAGTACATAGAGAATCCCAGCATGGCTTACATACAACGGGACCTTTGATGATATTTATATTCTACAAAGCAGTTTTATTAAATTACAAAATGTGCAAGTATTTAATATTGCTCCTACCATTTCAGGTATCAATTTTTTAATAGCTTCAAGTTCCTCTTCACGTATGCACCTAAATTCACTTTCTACTGGCTGCATACACAATCGACATATTTTCTGACTGCGAACCAATTCAATTTTCTTTTCCTGTACATACACTTCTCTTAAGTCGGGCTGTAACATTTGTTCGCTATCCACATAAGGAATAATTGTCTTATCGGTATTCAAACACGTCGACTTAAATTCTAACGCCGCATTTAACTTTCTTCTGCAAACGTTACATATAACCTCTTTGCTCTCGCTATCAAATTTCTGAAAAATACACATCTTCAAACATAAAGAAAATAACTGTGGCGGAAAATAACAATTAAATACTGAAAGATAATTTACGCTCGAAACTGTTAAGACGTACATGAGTGCTTACCAATTTCAGCAAAAGAACATCTAGAATGTCCCTGATAATGTTGTTTATCACTTCGAAACTTTCATCGGTTACAGGTTTAAAGCAAAGCCTACACGACGTTTCCTTAAGATCCGCCATTATTCTGCAACAATCTTCTTTTAAACATAAACAAAAACAGAATAGCAGAGATATACATAACGCACAATGCCGTCAGTCGTCACTTGTAGCCTTCGAGTATATACTATTGGAGGACTGGAGGCAAGGTATCAGTGCAGTGGCCGAGTGTAGCGGAGGTTATAGAGAGAGACAGAGAGTGAGAAAGAGGGTGTATTTGCTATCTCTCTCTAGCAGTACGCGATTGGCTCCTGTAATGGTCACTGACCCATCGCATGCTGCTAGAGACAGCATTTACCCTCCTTTACCTCACAACCTCCGCTACTAGGCCGCTACCTCCAGCAGTATATGCACTAAGCTTTTAACCTTTTTGGCTTCCTATATGACAGCATTAGCAATTGGCACTATTGGCATTAGCGGCGCATCTAGTTGTAGATTGTGGTTAGCGGGGAAACATGAACAGCCCTAGCCGGCGGGGCCCAGCCAGGACAAAAGGAGATCCTACGAAGCGCCTACACCAGCTGCATTTGCGGTCGGAGTAAACGACAGATGGGGCCCACCTACGAAGGTGTGTCCAGGCCTACACGAGATGAGGCCGGACAAAGAGGAATAATCCTTCTCGATGCCAAATCATTGAGGCTAATTTCTAGCCATGGAATAATGGTCCACGATTCGCCGCCGCCGCCATTATTCTATG